TGTCACACAGCACTCTGTGATGTCACACCGCCCTCTGTGATGTCACACTGACATCTCTGTGATGTCACACTGGCATCTCTGTGACCTCACACGTACATCTTTGTAATGTCACAAAGCTCTCTGTGATGTCACACTGACATCTCCTTAATGTCTTTGTGACATCTCTGTGATGTCACACAGCTCTCTGTGATGTAACAAGGACATACCTGTGACGTCACACAGACATCTCTGTGATGTCACACTGACATCTCTGTGATGTCACACAACCTCCTGTGATGTCACACAGACATTTCTCTGATGTCACCCTGAGACTGTGAAGTCACACAGCTCTCTGTGATGTCACACTGACATATCTGTGACATCACAGAGCTCTCTGTGATGTCACACAGACATCACGCTGATGTCACACAGCTCTCTGTGATGTCACACAGACATCTCTGTGATGTCACACAGGTCTCTCTGATGTCACACTGACATCTCTATGATATCACACTGACATCTCTGTGACGTCACACAGCTCTCTCTAATGTTACACGGACTTCTCTGTGATGTCACACAGCACCTGTGATGTCACACAGCATTTTGTGATGTCACACTGACATCTCTGTGATGTCACACTGATATCTCTGTGACGTCACACATCTCTCTGTGATGTCACACTGACATCACAGCCTGAAGAAGTGCCTTCGCATCCTCGGGCTGCAGCAGTGCGCAGGGGCACAGCTACCAGCCCACACACCGAGCACCGCGCTCAGAGGGCGTCTCCAGGCTGAGGCTGCAGCTTCCCTGCCCTCCTTATCAGGATCTCAGTGAACCTCCACAGTTTCTCCTTTTCAGATTTTTCAAGATCTCTCCTGTTCAGGAATTTGGCTGCACAAAGCAGGGTTTCCTGAGAAGCCTGGAGAGCAATAGAGACACGGAAATGGCCCCGCAGCCCAGGGCCCAGGATCAGCATCCCTGTGCCAGGGCCTGGAGGAGGCTGCAGCCTGCGAGGCGCCAGGGCAGGAGGCAGCCCAGCCCCTGCCAGGGGAACAGCAGCAGCCCGCGAGTCCTCACCTCTGCCACACACTGATTCTCATCATGGCAGTGGAAGATGAGTGGGAGCAGGCTCTGACACACTTGTGTCATCAGGGGCTTCTTTCCTTCTACTACAGCAGACAGCAAGGTTCGAAAGACAAACATGGAGAGCTGCTGCACATGGCTATCATCCTGTGTAACAGGAAGGGAACAAGACCTTGGCATCAGCTGACTCTGGCCCACGTTGGCTCAGGCCTGCATCTCCACAGGGCACCAGGTGTCTGGGCAGCAGCCAGTCGCCCAGGCTGAGGGCACAGAGCCTTACGTGGTCAAAGAGTGGCAGGAGCATCTTAGCCAGCTGCAGGGCGATGGGGCTGGGTATTGGGGCGTCATTATCCAGGAACAAATCACTTAACAGAACAGTGGTCATCCTGACCACATCACTATCATTTTCCTGCAGGAGCTCCCCGAGGCTTTTGGTCAGGCTCCACATTCTTTTGGCCTGTGCAGAACAAAAGTGTGTGAAAGGCCACCCTGCTGCCACAGGGCCTAGAGGCCAAAGGCCTGTCCCGAAGCACTCGGGCAGCTGAAGTGGGAGGCAGGAGAGCTGGGAGTGGCTGCCCCAGTGCCTGAAGCCCAGCCAAGTTCCAGTGACTGCGTTCCCCAGCCCCACGCTGCCTGCAGGGCTTCAGCTGCTGCCCCCTCCTTACCAGCCAGGGATTATCCCTGAGCAAGAGGAGGGCCCTTAGAACCTGGCGGCGCATCTCTGTGCGCTCACTCAGCAAGTGCCTCGACAAGAGATCCATGATGCTGTCACTGCCTGCACTCAAGTCCAGGCAATGCAGGACCTGAAAGGCACAGGGCAGTGACAGGGGACCCGGCCGGCAGGAGCCCAGAACCGCACAGGGTGGGGCCCAGGCAGCAGCACAGGGCGTGGGCACCGTCCCAGGCAGCTGTGGCTACGAGAGGGCAGAGAGCCGGGAGGCAGCGCTGGCCTTCAGACTCACCTCCACAAGGAATGCCAGGGCAGGGAAGTTCCAGTATGGCATCTCTTTGCTGAGCAACTCAAGGAGACAGCCTGAGATGCTCTTGCACAAGCAGATGGATTCATTGCGCATCTCCCTGGAAGGCGGAAAATGGCACTAAGATGTGGCAGCAGCTCTCTGGCCTCAGAGAGAAACAGACAGCTTTCCCAGGCATTGCCTGAGAAAGTCTGAGAAGATCAGAGGAAAGAATGAAAAAACATTCTTATCTTAACGTGCTGCACCTGGTATTGTGAACATGTGGAATATGTTACGGAGATTTGTCTACCAAAGGGTGCTTTCTTAATTAACTAATGGTGATAGTGTTTAGACTAGAAAACCAATTAAATCAACCTATATCATACCTATCTATAAGAACAATGGGTTTCTTAATAAAGACTATTATTGATCAGACTTCTGCAATACATGGAGTCAATTATAATGATTATCCGTCTGGGGGCCCACTCCTATGACACTAAGACCCTGAGCGGGGGGGAGAAGCCCTTCCCAGGACAGACTGACGCAGTTCTTGTCCTCACCCCCCACCCTGCAGGGGGACCTGGGCCCTTTGAGATGTGGCTGCTACTGGGCACCCTCCTCTCCCAGCCTTTTCCAGTCTGCTTGGCCACGCCTCATCCCTCTGGCCCACAGCCACAGGGACTGAGTGGGATACCCCAGACACAGAGCACAAATGCTGGGAGCAATGGGGAGAAGAGGGTCTCACCTGGCCAGCAGACCCACGGCACAGTGGTGGGTGTCAGCACAGAGCAGCGTGTCCCAGCCACGCTTGCGTTCCATTGACACCACCACATCCTCATAGTCCATTTGGCAGAGCAGGGATTTCAGGGTCCTCACTGCAAACCTGAGTGCAGAGCAAAGCCCGGGTCACACTGGGAGCACTGGCTCCTGCCCTGGCCATGTGGCAGGGACAGAAGGACTGGGATGGAGCACCTGTTGGGGCTGGTGGCAAGGCCGTGTTCTTCCTGGCATCCCCTCCAGAAGGTATCAACAGCCTCTGGCATCTCTTTGGTGCTGAAGAACACTTGGAAGAGCAGATGCACAAATAACTGCCAGAAATGCTCCATCACTATATCTGGGACACAGGGCTCCTGGAGGATCTTCCACATCACCACAGTTGCCTGCAAAGGACAGAGCAGCCCGAGGCAGCGTTCAGTGCCAAGGTATCTGTGTGACAGGGCCCGAGGGTGGCAGGGAGAGGCCCAGAGAGACACAGGGGGAGCAGCGGGCCTGGTGGCCCTGCAGCTGTCCTTAGGCCAGGTTTCAGGCCAGTGCCTGAGGCAGGGAGATGCAGTGGGGGAAAGAGGATGGAGAGCTGCTGGACAGGCAGCCCTGCTGCGCCGCCAGCCCTGGGGCCGCCCCCCGCCCACCCAAAGTGGCCCAGGTTGGAAGGAATTCCTGGCCCCAAGTGTCTAAGACAGCCCGACGGGATCTTTAGGAACGTCTCAGACCATCAGCAAACGCTGCCCTGCTCTGCGGGCTCAGGGCAGCAGTAGGAGCCCCCAGGGCTGGCGGCGCAGCCGCGCTGGGAAGGGCACGGGACCTTCCATAGAAGCTGCCATGGCCTGTGGCCATCCTAAACCCGCGGGTGTGGCACGCACAAGGAACTGTGGGCCAGGGCACGAATGCTGCTCTGAGCCCTGGGGCCCGGGGAGCGCTGACACCAGCAGCTGTGGCAGAGTCCCCACCCAAGCAGACCTGCCACCCCCCGAGCCCTGACAGGGCTGGTGCCCGTGTCCTGCCCCAGAGACCTGTGCCCCTGGGGGGCTTCTGTGCCAGAGGGAGCCAAACCCACGTGCACTGGGGGCTGTGCTCCTTCCTGCAGGGGCTGTTGGCAGGAGCACCTGGAGCAACTGCTGGCAACACTTGGTGTCTGTCAGATGATGTTGCTCTTCCCTAGAATTAATTTTTTCCATAGAAGGGATTAGCAGCAACACAAAAGCTCCAGTATCTAGTGAAATTCACAGGACAGAGACACAGTCACATCTCATTGGACTTTTCTGTGCATTTTTAAAGCATTCTGGAATAAAAAACCAGCCAAGTGGAAAGTTTAATGCAGCAGTTTGTGTGTCTAGTTGAATCCAGCAGCTAATACCTGGTGCATTGGGAAAGTGCAGAGGACAGGAATACCGCTCAGAGGAAAAGAAGGTGTTCTGTGTCTCCGAGTGTGGTGCAAGCACCCTAAAGGAGCAGCCAAGGGAAGTGCTGCAAGCAGACCTGCTGTTCTTGTGCACGTTCCATTGCTGTTTCTGTGGGGTCCAGAGCCACCGCGGCAGCAGTGCCTCCGCAGCCCTGCTCCAGGAGACCTGGCCACCCTCCCCATGGTGGCAGCAGCTCTGCGGGCCCAGAGCTCTGTGTCGGGGGGCCTCGGTCACAGCACCTGGCCTGGGCAGCCGCGAGGGCCCGGGCTGGCCGCCAGCCCTGCCTCTGCCCCCTGCCCCTTATTGGCAGCAGCCAGACAACAGCGCCTGCAGGGCTCCCCGTGCAGGTGCTGGCACCAAACACTGGCGCTGGCTCTGGAGGGGGCAGAGGGCCGGCTGCTGCCCGGGGAGCCGCGGTGCCGCCCCGCAGCCCCACCAGGCCACGGCTCCATCGGCCCTGGCAGGAGCCTGGAGCCTGGAGAAGAGCCCGTGCGGCCTCTGGGAAGGGAGCAGCGTGTGCAGCATGGGCTGGTGCCCCTGGGTGCAGCACCGGCCATGGACTGACTCCAGAATTCAGACCTTACAGAACATGGTTTCACAGTTACGTTCACACAACAATAGATCTCTACAGCTTCAGGCAATCACACAGCAGGTTTCTGTTGCCACATGGCAGGGTGCTAGACATGCTGCAGCCTCCTTCAAAGTGTCACCTTCAGAAGCTACTCTGAGTAAGGCCACAAGAACAGCCATTTCAAGTCCACACACACACATAGCCCAGCAGAGGAAAGACAGAAAGGGTCTATTTATGATGTATTCCAGCAAAGGTTTATTGCATCCACCAGGCTGAAGGGATCAGGGACAAAGACCTGGCCATGTGCTCTGCACAAGGTTAAGCAGGGGTCAGTGGCCAATGGTCTGAGGGCACGGGGGCAGCACAAAGGGCAGGGCAAAGGGCATTGGCCTACAGGGAAGACGGGGCCAGCCACCAGGGATACCACGACCAAGGACCAATGAGGAAACAGGGAAAGGAAAAACTGCAAGAATTTGGGACACGGGGAAAGGAACGGGGGTGGATCCTGGTGTTGCAAGGCTCCATGGCAGAAGTCTTCTCTTTAAGCCTAGGTGGAGACTATTGTATATTCTTCCAAGGCAAGGCCCTTGGGATTTCCCGGAAGGGTTGAAAGCATTCCACAGGTTTTATATAGGAAGGGAGTGAACAAAAAGCACAATTTTCACATCCAAGGCAGACAAATGATATGGGAAAAATAATTTCCAGAAAGGAACCTTATCTCAAGAATTTATGATGCAGCTAACTGCCATGTGAATCAGTGAAAGCCTGGCTCCTTTACTTTTCAGCAGGAAATATTTCCACATGAAAACAGATACCACTGCTATTGTTAGTGCTGGAGACCCCAGGATGATGTCATGCACAGCATACAGTACAGTTGGGTGATGAAATGCAGGGAGAAAAGAGCAGCAACCTCTCTGAATGTATCATAAGGATATAAGGCCTGCAGAGAGTATCCAAAGAGGGGAATGAAGATGATGAGGGGCCAGGAGAGGAAGCTGTATGAGGAACAGCTGAGGTCAATTGGCTTGTTCAGCTTGGAGAAGAGGAGGAGGTCTCAGCATGGCTGGCAGCTCTGTCCCAAAGGACAGCTCCAATCTCTGCTCTCTGTGACAGGGACAGCACCTGAGGGAGCGGCTGGAGCTGTGTCAGGGCAGGGTAAGGTGGAATTTTAGGAAAAGGTTCTTCTCCCAGATGGTGCTGGGGCACTGACCAGACTCCCCCAGGGAATGGGCAAAGCCCCAGGCTGACAGAGCCCAAGGAACATTTGAACAATGCTCTCAGGGATGCATAGGATAGGATTGTTGGGGTGTCTGTGCAGGGCCAGGGGTTGGACTCCATGATCCTTGCAGGTCCTTTCCTCTGGTGAGTCTGTGATTCCATGATTCCAAGACACTGGGAAGGAAGGTTGATACAATGCTTTGCCATGTAAATAAATGCTATTTGTAGTGCCTTCAGTTGGCTATGCTCTCAGTTATACAAAAAAAAAAAAAAAAAAAAGTGACAGAATTCAGCTGCTATTTTAGACAGAAAGCACCACCTGACCATATCAAGCACTGCTCTATTTAAAGGTTCCAACAATCTCTTTTCCATTTCCAGCTGCAAAGATCAGCAAACACATTGGAAAAGTCAAATGAATTCCAACATTCCCAGAATACAAATTTTCATGACTGAAACCAAGGAAGGATTGCCCACAAAGCCTTAGAAACAGTTCCTAGATGAATTAATGTCTCTCCCATGCAGGGCTGTAATAGCTGAGCTTCTGCACTGCTGAAAGGTTCCGGGTAGAGGGGGAACAAGTCCACAATGTTCCTTTACAGTCTGAAATAGGGATGCAGGGTTGGACCAAAGGCTTTCCTTGGGGGGATGATGCTGAAATGCACTGCATTCTGGCACACCAGCATTCCAGACCCCAGCAGGTCTGACAGCCCGTGCAAGGAACAAGCAAGATCCAGCTACTACAGGGCAGAACAGGAAGGGAGATTGATTCATTCAGACATGCAATTAGTGCTTGAAGGAAAGCCACGCACAGGTCCCTCCAAGTGAAATGGAAAAGCAAAGGGATTTTGGCAACAGCAGCAGAACTCTTGGAAATAGGAGTGATTTGCAACAGCAGCTTAACAAGGACTAATTGCTGCCACTGGACCTTAGGGCAGATGAGAAGAGTTTGGGCAGGAATCATGTCAGGAGATAAGCAGTCATCTCCAGTTTCACCACAACCTTGCAACAAGGAGAAAGGACTGTTTGATCAACAAAAATAAAAATTGCAAGAAAATCCTGCTGACTCCTGCTGAGACATTGATACTCTGGTGCCTCTGTTACCATCTGCTTGGGGGTTGCTGCCAGCTCCGAGCAATTATTCTTCATTAATTGGTACCTGTGTGAGCAACAGAAAGAATTGGAGAGTAGAACTCCCAGCCCACCTCAGGGCTTTGCTTTCATCCTCTCAATTCATCAGCTCGGGTGATTGGATGCCTTGTCCAGGGGACGGTGTCCCTGCCCATGGCAGAGGGTGAAACTGGATGAGCTTTAAGGTCCCTTCCAGCCCAAACCATTCTGGGATTCTAGGATTCTTCTGAAGGCACTGTCATCCATCATGAGAGGTCCCTTTCCACAAGCTCCATCATAAACTACCCTCCCTTGTCCCAGGCTGCCCCACTGTATCTAATTACAACCTGTTTTCCAGCCACACTGCAGCTCCCTTTGATCTGTGCTGGCATTGTTTTAGCAGCACTGGACTAAATGGCCTCCAGAGTTCCACTATTTTACAGCCTATTTTTTAGGCAACTTGAAGTCCAGCACATCCCAGAAGCAGCCCAGGAACTGGTGATCCTTGTAGATTTTATTAGGTGGTTGCAAGTCATTCATGACTAAATGGAACTTAGGTCAAGTGAATATCCAGTTCTCCCAGGAAAAGAGTGAGCTGACTGGGGAATGTTTGGCACAGGTTTAAGGTCTTTTGGACAAAACCGCTCTGTGGAAGAAAGAGCCAGGCCGTAATGTCCGGGCTGATCAAGTTGTTCCAGATTATCCCATTCAACAGTTACACTTCTTAACCTTCTGTCTCTAAAGGTGACAGTGTTCTCTGCATCAATATTCTGTCTGCCTCTCACATCCCACTGTGGGACCCAAACCAATTCTTTCTTGAAACAGAAGGCAAATGGACACAAGGCTGATGACCGGACACTCAAACTGGACCTGAGGCTTTGGGTCAGCTCCTCACACTGCAGCTTATTGCACAGGACACAGGAAGGCTACAGCAATCCAGCCTAATGCCCCACTTTGATAGTGGAAAAATAAACCTTACTCCTGCCCTCACTTCTGTCTTTTCTATTTGGATTGCCTGCTCTTCAGAGTTAAAAGATACCAAGGGTAAAGGATCCAGCACAGCAGCTCCTCATTTTCTAGATGCCCTCCAACACAAAGACAACTAAAATAACCTTGGGTTAGTCACAGTTATTCAGAGGCAAGCGAGCAAAACAAGGTATTTTAAACAGTGCCAAAAATTGATAGAAACCCCAGATGGAAAACTGTACTTTTCATAAAGAAAAACACAATTGAGGAAGAGAATTTGTGTCTCCTTTCTTCCCCAGTATCAGACACTATGAATATAACCATCAACAATTAATACTAGCTCTTCTTTCAAAGACACACCAATTTAACACCAACACAAATGCTGGTAACTTGATTTCAAGGCAGACAATGGATTTAAAGTGGGCTTACCCTGCTCCAGTAGCTGCTCTTGAATTTCAGCTCCACTCATTTAATTTTACTGGAAATCTCTTTCAGAAAGCCCTTCAAATCAGAGAGCTTAAAAAAAAAAAAAAAAAAAAAAAAAGGAGGAGGTTATTTTTGTAAAGTCCATCTAGCTGAAGGAATGCAATGCTAATGAGCAATGAAAGTAACAAGTAATTGCCTCTGCAAGTATTACACCAAATGCAAGAGTGCTTGAGAGGACAGTCCCAAGTACAGTGTTCATCAGGGCAATTAATGCAGCGAGTCCTGATGCCTCTATTTCAGAGAGTTAACCAGCAGTTACCAGAAGAGAGAAGCAAGAGATGGGTATTTCTTTTCAGGAGAGAATTAAGGTTAGCAGATCTCCTTTCAGTTTCAAGAAAAGCATCACTAGCCACAGACTCACTCACCACTTCCCTTTCAGTCTGGAAGCAAGCTATTATTTTGCAATCTAAATTATTTGACAGTAACAAAAAAAAAAGTACTCTGAAGTATATGTGGGTCTTTTCACCTGAGCTTCTGGAAAAGTCTTTGCTTCATACCAAAGCCACTTCTCACTTCAGAGGCCAAACAGATAATTCAGTCAAGCCTCAGAAAATACCCACTGTGAACACACATACCCATTTCAACATCACAGTCATAAAAAGATTATTTGCATGGCAATTCTCATAATGTGCTCTCTGGTAGATGGGTAGCCTTATATTGCTTAATTACACCAGGCCAACACCACCAGAAGCTAAACTTGACAGACACCTTTGCGATGGGGACATGTCAAGTGTGTGACATCCCTTCTTCCCACTGGCATTTCATGGACCTGTTATACAGCTGAATGTTGCAGTTTAAGATGTAAATTACTTCGTTTTATTCCATCCCACAAGGAATATTGAGAAACACTCCTCCAGTGCTAAGCAAGTGTCTTTGTTTCATTTTCCTGCATCATATAAAGCTCTTGTGGCTTGGAAGGGACCTCACAGCTCATTGTTGGCTGCTCCAACCCCATCCAGCCTGGCTTTTGATACTTCCAGGGATCCAGGGGCAGCCACAGCTTCTCTGGGTACCCTGTGCCAGGGTGGGCCCAAACTCACAGCCAAGAATTTTTTCCCATTATCCCATCTAATCCTACTCTCAGTTCAAAACCATTCCCTTCTGTCCTAATCACTACACGCCCTACACACTCCTATCTGTGGAATCAAAAGAGCACGGTAAAAAAGCTCAATTAAAATGGGGCCCTGGTGACAGTGACACAGACTGCACACGACTCTGGGAGGCTCATTTTCCTTGCCATGGCACACCCCCTGCTTTACCAGAGAGAATCATATTCCCCGGAGCAATCTGGGACAGAAGTACCTTTGCATCCAGTTGTCTGAATCGGTGCACCATCCTAGAAGCAGAAGGAGAACACGGAGCAATGGGGTCAGTCTGGATACCAAGGAAAACTTGGCTAATTACCACACCCCCACTCCCTCCAGTGCTCCATCCTCCCAGGGAGGCAGGGCTGCATGTGACTGGCATAATTTTTAGTACAAGTAAATTAACTAACATGCAAATTACTATTAGTAGGATGCTATTACATTTTCCTTCTCAAGACATTTTTGCTTCCAGTACCAAGGAAATGTTTTTGGTATTTGTTCGGCTTCTTATGCAATGCTGCTTGTCTCTGGGTAGTCTTAACCTGAACACTTATTTGTGGACAGCAATGTTCATGCCCACAGATATGGAAGGGTCTGTTTTTTCTTGTCCATTCCTATCAGCTCTCTCTGATTAAGGGAAATATTCAAGCTGCCAGAAGTTAGCAAAGTTAAGCAATCATACAGAGCAGGTTTAGTTCTCTAGCAGTGTTCTGGTTTCTTGCTTTCTTTCGGTTTTTGTTGTTTTTTTTTCCTCTTATACTGTTACTCTTAAAACGGTGAGACAGATCCCATAGATAATGTTTCCATGAGCTGGCAGTCAAAGAAATATCCAAGCATAAGTCTCCAAAGTTTCAAATACCATGATTCTAAAGATCATCTTCCCCGCCTCAGAAGTCTCCACAACTCATGCTACTAATTACACATCTCCATTTGGATTACTGCTGTGGGAATGTCTGAGATTCCAGGTCTAACAGTAAACATTCTCTGCTAAATGTAAAATCATAGAATTATTTGGGTTGGAAAAGATTGAGTCCAACCAATTCCACCACTAACTCATGTCCCCAAGTGCCATATCCACATGGCTTTTAAATCCCCACGCCAAGATGGGGGTGCCACCACTGCCTTGGGCATTCTGTTTCAGGGCTGGACAACCCTTTCTATAAAGAACTTTTTCCAGCCATCCTGTGGTGGCTTTTACCATTGTGAGCACATGGCGCTTGCCTTGGCGTGTCTGGGGCAGTGTGATGTAGTCAATCTGCCAGGCCTCCCCATACTTGTACTTGGACCACCGCCCACCATACCAGAGGGGCTTCACTCGCTTGGCCTCCTTGATCACAGTACACGCTTCACAGTCATGGATCACCTGAGAAATACTGTCCATGGTTAGATCCACCCCTTGGTCTTGTGCCCACTTACAGGTGCCATCTCTGCCCTGATGGCCTGAGATATCACTGGCCCATTGTGCTCGTAGCAACAGCCACTGTTTGAGGCTTACAGTCTGGTTTAGCTCCTAGCTTAGGCTCACAGTCTGGTTTAGCTGCTGGCTTTGAGCTTGGGCTGTTGGCTGCAGCCTGAGTGACTGGGATAGCTGCTGATTTATCTCCCTGCCCCCCTTCCTCTGTCTGCTGCCCTACAGTATCTAGCAGGGTGCGATAAGCATATGCCAGGGCCCAGAACGCTGCAATGATCTTTTTCTCCTTAGACTTACCATGGCATTTCTCTTTCAGGTACTCTGCCACCTCAGCTGGATTCTGAATTTGTTCACATGGGAAGTCCCAGGCTATAGGGTCAGAAAATTCCTTTAAGATTTGGCCCATATGCTCCCATTTCTTTCTTGAACTCCCTCACATCTCCTGAGTTAAGAGGTACCTCCACATAACCTATTCCCGGAATTTCGGCTGGTTGTCCCTGCTGACCAGCACTGGGGTTAGGGATTATTCCCAAAGCTACTTCCCTTAATAGATACAGAGCTTGCCCTTCCCTTTCTCTTTCCCCCCTTGTTAGACTACGAGTAACGTGGTGATTTTTCTCAGGGACCGGCTCTGGGATTTTTATCTCTTAGTTATCAAAATCTCCCCCTTGATCCAAATTGGGGTAGACTGCGGGTGGTGCTGGTGGGGGTGGAGGAGGGGGAGGTACGTATGGTAGAGGGGGTGCAGTTGGAACTTCCTCAGGCTTTTTATTTTTCTTTTTCCCTCCCTGGGTGCTTAAGGCAAAAAGTTTTGCTCTTGTTTCCCCCACTATCCAGAGAGCAGCATACTTGCTCTCTTCCATATCAAAAGGTTCTTTAGAGTTTACATAAATGTTTAATGCCTGGTAAATCCAGTCCTCAAAGCTTCCAAACACTGGCCAAAATAAATTATCACTACGGATTTGTTTCCCTCCCCATACTTTTATACAATAATGTATCATTTTTGCCTTATCCTTCCCTTTTCTTGAAGGATATTCATCCCAAGATTTTATCATTAGACCTAACGGACTGTCAGGGGGTATCTGGGGAAGCTTCAGCGGGGTCCCCCTCCCCATGGAAGCAGAGGGCTTGCTTTTCCTCTCTCCCATCTTCCAGGACACCTTCACGCACACACACACTCGCGGCCCCCTGTTTGTGGCCCAGCCCCTCTCGGGGTCTGGAAACTGCACTACTTAGAGGTCCGCACTTGCCTCGTCCTAAAAGGATGTCTCATGCGTTATGTCCTGGGATCCCAACCCCAACCGAGCGGATCCCCACTTTTAGACTCATGCTGTCCTGTGTCTTCGCCTGGGCTTCGTGCACAAAGATTACGGGGTTACCTTTTGCTTAATACCAAATTTAGGTTCGTCAGTAAGGGTCCGGGAATGCAAAGCCTGCACCAGGGCTGCTGCAGAGGCAGCAGGACGCCTCCCTGATTAGGAATTCCCACCCGGTCGCCCTTATCCAAGTCACGGCACCAAATTTGTTATGGACAAATTCAATTGTGGAGGCTAATTATAGATAAATCAATTAACAAGAATTTATTAAGCAAGCAGTATTAAGCAAAAGAACAACGCTGGGCGGCCGGGGAGTCTCTGCTCTGCCACGGCGCACCTTCCCCCTTTGACCTTTTTGTTTTTATAGTCCCTTTTTTTTTCCAGTTGATGTATTTTCTGTCGATGCACTCTGCGCCGGTGCAATTGGGTGCTAGGGGGTCTTTTTTCTGCCCTTGGTGGTCATAGGAATGAAGGCTCCTCATCTTCCTTGCAGATTGTCCTTGGCCTAAAAGTTAACTTGTATATAATTAGTTACACAGTCTGCTATGCTACTTGCATCTGCACAATTCTTAAGCAGAATACTTGCTGTTTCCCCACCTTTCTCTTTCACCTCACACATCTTGAGATTCCCTACTCAGTTCAAATTCTTATCTCTTTCAATGCTCGTTTTGATGAGCAAAGACCTTTTTATTTATTATACTCTGGACATCTTAGCCCTCAGTCTAGAGGAGCTGTAGACTATATAGAGGAAGTTTACTAGATTAAATACGAGGAAAGTGGTCTCTTTAACATTCAGGGGAAACTGAACCTTTTCAAAAAGAGACTTAACAGATTCAAAGGAGAAGAAGGAAAGGAAAGGCTGGAAAGATTCATCCCTTGTTTTTCATCTAATAAACTGTGTGTAATTTCTAATAAACCCCCAAAACATGCTACTGGAACTGGGACATAGGGTAGGATGGAGAAACTATAAACCAAATATATCTTGAACAGACTTCAGTACTTTTGTAAACTCCCTATAAATTATTATTACTGAGCCTAGCACAATAGCTATTCAAACCCATGCCCCTCTACTGGAAAAGCTATGGATTAGAACAATAGTGGAGCTGTTTTCAGATAAGAAAATAATCCTAGTGCCTAGAAAGTTATTACAACTTCAAAAAAGCCTTGGGACTAGAAATACATGAAGGCCCCCACCCCGAGAGACATTACCACTTCAAGTAACATCGTTACTGACTGCTTTGTGCCACTACAGAGTAAGCACAACCAAAATGCAATCATGACAGGTTTTTCTTCTTTCTTGGGCCTCACATTGGGTGCCAAAAATGGTTGGTTTAGGGTAAAATTAGTGGTTTTTTTAGAAAGTAGATTTAATTGGCCCTTCCCTGTTGCCTTTATGAAAGACAACCAAGGACCTGGTTCAGATGGCAGCACGGCGGCCTGGTCTCGTCCAAGCCACTTGGGCTAATCAACACACGCAGATACCAATATGGCAGACGGTTGAAAAGCGTTTATTATCCTATTTCGTGGGTTTATATAGGTTTAGGAGTCTTTGCTACGTCAGAGGGGGGTTTGGGGTCTCGGAGGATAGTGGGTTGTGGAATTTTACCAGGACAGGTGTGGCTACATTCTTTTCTGACTCCTGGGGTAGCAGATAAGCAGGGGAGAGAGAGGGGGGGAAGGGGTCTATCTTTCCGTGACATTCCCGTAATCTTCCGCTTCGCCTGTCCCTATCTTACCACATCTCCCCCCTCCTTATCACATACAAAATGAGGTAGTTGTAGATAGAGGCATTGGAGTGAGGTACAGACTTGTAACTTGTTAAGGAAAGGGTGGTTTAGTAGATCAGGGTAGATTTTCTAAGGCAGGTGCTGAAGGCTTTAAAAGGTCTAGTCTTTACTTATTTTGTAAAACTACTTCTGAAAGCGAAGAGATTGATTTCTCTAGATAGGAGATGGATTTCTCGATCCTCTGCAGGTCTTCGTCGATGGTCATTTGCAGCTGGGAGAGTCCGTGTTGCTGGGTTGCGATGGCTGAGATACTCGTGGCTGTGCTAGCTGCTCTCAGGCCAAGCAGCATTGCGATGGTTAATTTCTTTTTTGTGGAGTCTGTTAGGTTCTTTGAGAAGGTGGTATGTCTTTTCGTCTGAGTGATGCAGGACCTTAGAAATAATTAGAACTTGAACACAGAAATTGATAGAGTTATTAAACTTGGTAAGGAATATATAAGGATTCACTCTGGGTTTTTGGCAAACTTACATTTTAAATGTGGATGGGACTACTTACTTATTGGTCTTTTGTGGGGGGTGTCTTACTTGTACTGGTGGGGAATATTGGCTGTGGAGTAACTGAAGGGGGTATCTAAAGCGTTGCTTTCGTAGAAAAGGAGGTTTAATATCATAGTAAAACTAATATGGGTTAGTTAGGTTTGATTTGGTTTCATTTAGGGTTAGTAAAATAGCTTCTAAACAGGCTGGCTATAACACGAAGGATGGGGTATTTATTATGGTGACTTTTTTGAGCACTTTGTTACTT